CCAGCAAACTGTGGGACTTGCCTGCAAGTCTGATATACAAGCACACCACATCTTCCATCCAGCTCTTATACTCTGGACCACTGCTCCCTACTTAATCGCCCCAGGAAGGGTACTAGTATAGTATGATCATGCTAGCCAATCTGAAGGCTGAGCACTCTGATTGCCTGTTCTTTCCTGTGGAAGCCCTAATAAAGGCTTTTGTCCACATTTTCTCCTTCCTCCCCATGCCTCCAGATCAGGCCTGATACTTTCACTTGTGGCCCTCCTCTCGGAAACTGTGAGTGACAAATTATCTTTACAATGGCCATCAACTCCTGACCTGTTGGCTCCTCTACACCTGAGTAAATGATAAAAACTTACATCTTAAAACAGCCTGGTGGTGTCGATGCTTCTGATCTGAGAACCACCCTTTGTGTTGCAAAGTTCTCAATTCCTGTGCTGTTACAGAATATGTGCCACAGCTGAGAGGATGGACTATGCTTCTGCAGGTCTGACCTGCGTTGGAGCCCAGTGTGCTGCAGGAATCAAATGGCCAAGGGGCCAAAGCTCTAGCAGAGGCACCCTGTGGAAAACTGCCATTGCTTCTGTCTTACCTTCCAAAATTGTGGGTTTATGGAGCTTTACTAGATAGAAATTAAATAAAAAGCTGCAAAGGAAAGGAAGCTGAGTCTGAGGTCTTTAAACTCCAGCAGGCACTGTGGCAATAAAGGTGACTCAAGGCCGGGGGTGGGGGTGGGGATGGTTAGGACTCTGTAGGTCAGCTGGCATTGGGCGCTTGCTACATGCTCCCTACATGAACCGATGCAGATATGGCCCTGGATGCCACACCTTAACCAACACCTGGGTGCAGATATGGCCCTGGATGCCACATCCTTAACCAACCCCAGTCAAGAGGCCTCAGGGAGTAAGCCTTAGAATCTAGGCAATTTACCTGTCTCCAGAGCAAGAAGCTATTCAGGTATTCATCAGCCCTTGTGCCCAGAGATATAGGAAGGCTCTGATTATCATTCCCTTCCTCAGGGCACCCAGGGCTTGGAGAAGCAGCCTAGACAGGATCTCAAACCTTCTAACTCTAAAGCCAGAGCACCACCCCCCTCCCAATCCTAGTTCCATGTGCCACTAATTAAAGCAAACCCTGATTAAGAACTATCAATTGTAAGTACTTCATGTGGCTTAGCTTGTCTAATCCCCACAACCCTATATAGTAGATGCTCTGCAAATCCTTATTTTCAAGATGAGTAAGCAAGCCCAGAGAGGCTAAGTAGCTTGCCCACCCTCCCAACTAATTGGCAGGGTCAGAATTTCAGTCTAAAGGCTTCATCACAGAGCCTTCACTCTCTGTTGTACCCTCTGAGTGTTTGGGTGGTGCTAGTCAGGTGAGGGCCCCAGATCTGTGTCCACAGCATCAGTACCAGACAGGAGCAAGTTGCCTGGCCTATCCCAGACTTGCTGAATCAGAATCCTATGAATGAGGCCAGGAATCTGTGCTCTATAAGGTCTCTGAGTGACTCTGCTGTAGGTTGAACATACCTGTGTCAGAGGCACCCCTGTAAGAAACTAATGTCAATAGTAACGGCATCAATTTATCTTCAAGTATGGACATCACTGTTTAGAACAAGGCCTTGGGAGTTAGCCTGACAAACAAGAAGGATAATATTGAGGTTCAAAACTTGCTCCCACAGAAGTTACAAGCTTGGAAACTTTGGGCAAAGTGCTTAACTTTTTGGAACTTCACTTTCCTCTTCTGGAGAATGGGAATCCAGTATCAACCTCTTAGAGTATGTGAGCATAAAATGAGCCAACCCTGTAAAGTGCTGTGCTCTGTTTCTAGCACCAGGAAATGCTCTGTAAGTGGTAGTGATTCCTTAACACTTCCCTGTTTTCTATAACTTATGTCCTTTCCTATCACACTTTACCATAGTGTGAACCTGAATTTCTCTGGTTGCCAAACCAAGAAAATTGCTTTCAATAAGAACAAGGAAGTTATATTCTTTTTTTTTTTTTGGGGGGGGGCAGGGGTACTAGGGATTGAACTTAGGGGCATTTGATCACTGAGCTATATCCCCAGCCCCATTTTTATTTAGAGACAGGGCCTCACTGAGTTGCTCTGTACCTCGCTTTTGCTGAGGCTGGCTTTGAACTCGCGATCGTCCTGCCTCCGCCTTCCCAGCCATTGAGGTTGCAGGTGTGTGCCACCACGCCTGACCAGAATAACTAGAATGGCAAGCTACCTAAACAATGCCTAAAGACATTACTGTACACCCACATGGAGCACGTCCCCAAATACCATCAAAAGTTTCAACCCTGAACTAGGGGGTAGAGATGCTCATTCATGAACTGAGGAAATTCACATTAAGCAACAGCTTGGCCCTCGTCTCTCTTACCTGACTGCAGCTGGTAAATGTGTTCCTAGTGGCATGCCTTTAAAAACACACTCCTGCTGTACACCCCAGAAGTGGAGAAAGCATAATGGAGGTAAACTGGCTTCAAACACAGACCAAATTCTGCAGTGACATCTCAGTTGCTTCTGAACCGAATGAATCTTCCCACCTCCAATCATACAGTTACCTCAGAGGAAGCAAATCTTCCTGCTCCCAGTGACTGGGGCATCCCAATCAGACACCAGTCACCTAGGCATAGACAAAGAAAAGGCCCCGTGCCCCCCCACAAGGAGGGCGGGAAGAGAAAAAAAGGTATGTGGGAGAAGAAGAAAGAAGTCTCAGGGGACATTTATGTCATCACTAAAGTCATGTCAGGCCAACTCCATCCTAAGCCATCAACTCTGATTTTCAATCAGAAGGAGGGGGGTACAAGGAGAACTTAAAGATTTTTTTTTTAAGGTAAAGAAAAAAAAATGTCGTGCTAGCTTCATTATATAAATTAAAATCCCACTGGGACATGTCAGTAGTTATTCTTCCTATCTGTAAGGAGAAATTTCAATAAAAAGGTGTAGGTGGTAAAATGAAAATCTGAGCAGATCTCATTTTTTTATTATTCCCTTCACTGTTTGGAGACCTCTGAAAGATAGATGATTTTATATGGAGCCCAGCTGATTTCTGATCCTTTTAGATTCTGGCCCAGAAAAAAAAAATACAAAAATCAAACCAAAGTGGGTTCCCATGAACCTTAACTCTGGCACTATTATTGAATTATTTGTTTTTCATAAAACACTTTAAAAACCTAATTATAAAAATAATGTATACAATAAAGATCTTAGAAAATTCAGATATGAATGAGGAAGAAAATAAAAATCATCCAGTCTCCACACCATTTCAGTTTAAAAATAAACGTATATATGTGCATAATTTAAAAAAATGTGATCATACCAAGCACTTTGCTTTAAATGCTATTTTTCTCCTTTTACATCATGAACATTTCTTTATGTTGTGAAATCTTTTTTTTTAAAAAAGACTGTTTTAGAATTACTTAGTGCTAATAACTCCTTTTGTTTGGCATTGAGATTGGTTGTAAATTTTTGCCATTATGGATTATTCTGGAGTGAACATCCTTTGGATACATTTTTATACATATTCATATTTTATTTATTTATACATTCATTCATTCATTTATTTTTGTGGTGGTGCTGGGGATTGACCCCTGGGCCATGGGCATGCTAGGTAAGAATGTGCCAATTGACCTACATAGATCCACAGTCCTATTTATTTTCTTATGTAAATTCTTAGAAGTAAAATTTTTGGTTCCAGGCCCTTGAACCAGGTAGTCAAATGCCCAAAGGGACAGGGATCTCTGATCTACATATGTACCAGGTTCAGACAGAGTACAGTTTACTTTTTCCTCATTAACACAGGATATTATTATTAATTTGAAACCTTTGCCATTTTGATAGGTGAAAAATACTCTCTACTTGTTTTAACGTTTGTTTTTGATTACCAGTGAGGCAGAACACTTTTCGCATTAATTGGCCACTTGATTTTATCTCTTGTGAATTGCCTATTCATACCCATTTTTAGTGTATTTCTTTTTCTCATTCATCTGTAAGAATTTTGTAAAGAGTAAGAATATTAGTATTTTAAAACCGGAAGAAGTTGAAAACCATAACTATTTCTTAATAAGATTTACAACTGTGAAATGTTTATATCATGAAGCGTTAAAAAGTTCTTTTGATGGCAAAGAGGCCTTGTGGGGTAGTGAAGTTTGAATCAGATTTGACAAAATCTTTATCACTAAACCTGAACCCAGAACTCTCATTTGAACCCTCTGTCCCTTTTAAATCAACTTCAGTAATAACAGAATGCCAGACATAAAAATAATGACAGGGTGGCATCTTAGGAAGAATCCTACACCTTTGCTAGGCAGGTTCTATACTTTCCTGGTTGATCAGCTACAGACAGATACCTCTGTGGGCAAGAAAATTTGTATGGGCACTGTCCAGCACCAGTGGCCACCAGAAGGACAGAGCATTTTGCAGGGTTTCTTATTTGAGTTGAAGCCAGCAAATCAGGGGTTTGAATTCTGAGTTCCTGGGTGCCACTTAGAATGAGCTGAGTGATCACAAGAAACCATAAACGTCAGATCCACCTCCACCCTCAGGGTGGAACAGGATTAAAGAAGATTTAAGGACACCAGAACGCTGTCTGATTTCTCTACTCACTGTTCCTAAGAGGCAGAGCGGAATCCACCTTTTGGTGTGGATGCCCAAGGGCTTCCCGGAGAGGTGGGCACAGAGGCGTAAACTCAGATCTTCCAGGGCAGGAAACACCTCTTCACGCACAGTTTGCATTTCCGCAGTTGACAGCAGGAGCAGAAAATGTAGCCAGCCAGCCAGGTTGGGAGGGCGGAGGGTGATGACTGATGGTGACAGGGAACCACCTTCCTGTCGTCGGAGCCAACCCAGGTTACTAGTTGTATGTCTGGCACTTGGGTCGGATGCCTACCAATCACACAGGTTCTGTCTGCCGGCCTGGGTTCCGGCCGCGATTGTTCAAAAATAAAACAGGAAGTCCAGAACAGAACAAGCCGAGAGCAGCCAGCCGCACAGGAGTGCAGGCTGGGTAGAGAGGATTCGTCTTGGTGGGGCGGGCTCCGAGTTGAGGAAAGCAGCCCCAGCTGCAGGACAGGAAGACATCACAGAGGACGATGAAGGAAGCCAGGTATGCCACTGCCTGCTGTTTCCAAGTTACATCCTGATTCCACAATGAGCAACACTAGGAAACAGACCAATTTACAATGGTCACCAGATCCACAGACTTTACCCACTAAAATGGAGATTTTTTCTGTCCTTCTGTAACCAGAAGCTGAGGGACAGATAAGCAGAGGGAAGCAAAGGATAGAGAAAGATGGGTGGATGGGTAGGGTGAGTCTTTGTCTCACTGGTCTCACTGGTCTGCTAGGTATTCATTCTCCCTTCTTTTCTCGTAATAGCAGCACCTTGATTTTCCTCTGGGGCACACCCTTCTCCACACTCAGCCCACAACACTGCCATGTAGTAGGACTGCCCAACCTCTCTGGGGGCTGGGTGGCACTCAAAATGTCCTTTCAATGTTAAAGCTATTGTCCCACACAGTTAAAGGGCTTCCTACTCAGGGCTTTGGATCTTTCTATCTTCTGAAACTTTATGCATGACCTTGGTTCACTGGGTTGGGATTCCAAAGATTCTGCATTGGCTGGGGATGTAGCTCAGTGGTAGAGCACTTGCCTAGCATATGCAGGATATGGGTTTGATCCCTAGCACAGCAATAAACAAACAAAAAGATCCCTGTCGTGCTCACTGTACTCCAGGAAGGTACACCAGGGCTTCCTCCTGAATGGAGTCAGGAGCAAATGCAGGAATTGTGGCCTTCTTACAGAGGAGTAGGCCTAGGAATGAGTGGATTACATGTGGGTAAAGCTGATACCTGCTCAAATAGGGCTGTTCCTGGAGTCCACAGCAGAGATGGGAAAAGGTTAGGACTTGACAGCTCTGTAGACAGAAGATAGATGAAAACCCAGAGCTTACAGAGGAAAACAATTACAGAGTGAGCTTTCCTTCTGGAGTAGATTTATGCTTTTCAGCAAACTATAGGGATGAGGAAAACCTACTGTGAAAGGCCCAGCTCAGAATACGTTTAAAGACTGCACTGCCAGAGCTAGAAAAGGAGCCCTCTTTTCAGCTGTGCCCCAGACTTTGGATTCTTCCAAAACCTGGGATGATTGTATAATCCCTTAGCTGTCTTTTGGCTCTATTCCTAACCAAGTCCAATTTCATCTTAAGTCATAAGCAGCTTGGTGGCACAGACTGGAATGGAACCTGGTGTCTGCATCTTGCTTCTTTACACAGACTGAATACCACGGAGGAAGCCTGAAACCCGTTACTTCTCTGGGGAGTTTTTCCTCAGGGCAGGTGGTTACTTCATTAATTCCTGCAGAGTGTAGACTTGAACGGACACAGCTAACACTGGCTCTGGTCTGATTTAGCCATCTAGTACCTTCTCTTTACGTAGGGGAGTTGGTGCCTTTTGGAGACCCACTGGAAAATTCCAGGGTGCTCTACCTGTCTGGCAGAGCCAAAGCAAACCTTGTGAAGGCCTGAAGAGACTCCCACAGGCAGCCCAGCCTCCCTCCACTCAGGCCAAGCCACCGTTTGACTTCCTTCCTATGTCCTTTTCATTCTCGTCACACCTCGGGCTATGGGAAGTCTTCCTCAGCTCCATGCACACTTCTCCTTCCTCTGAACCCACAGAAATTCTAGCAAGGAGACCCTTCCCCCACCCCAACAGTCTGGGCAGCAGCAGCCACAACAAATACCAAAAGCCGCTGCTGTGTTGCTGGATGGCTGGGCCAGAACGGGTGGTGTCAGGCTGTGTTCACAGGGTTGTGGCTGGGGGCCTTCCTGCCACCTCTCTCACTGACTGTCGAGTTGGTGGTCAGCTGGTGAAGGAGAGAGGGCCCATAAGAGAGCCACAAGGTGACAGGGCACGGAAGCTGTCCCCAATCTCTGCTCTGTTGATGCCACCATGGCCTCTGGTTTCTATGAGGGAGGTAGAAATAGGGGAAGAACTGAAGGCCCACTCAGATGTATGTAAAGGAACGGGCAGAGGACAAGAGGGTGCTGCACTGAGCTCCTGGAACACCTAGTGCTGCCTGCCTCTAAGTAGCTCATTGTTGATAATTACTCCGAAGCCACCAAACGGCTCTACCACAGGCGGCTCTCCTTTCCCCACTGCATCCTGCTCTCACTTACATAACCCATCAACCACAACCACTCCTGGAGACCTTGCTGTGTGCAACGTTACTTCTCCACAGAGAAGTATCGTTGCAACCCTGGGAGCAGGGGAAAAATGGACACAGGACACAGCTGGCACTGACTTGGGCATCATTCCTTTGGAACCTCCTTTTGCAGATATTGTGAACACCATAGCCCAGAGGGGTGGACCATCCTGCAGGAGAAGCTGGGAAGAATTCCCGGGGTGGGTGCAGCCTCAGCCTTGCAGCTCTGCCCAGCCAGAAAGGCTGTGACCTTCCTGTGATGGTCCTTCTCAGATTGAAATGGGTTCTGATGAACTTTTCACATTAATGAGAATCAGACAGCCTACCCCTAAGGTTGCGTATTGAGTTCTCTTGGAAAGGACTTGTGCTCCCTCTCCTGCTGCTTCTTCTTCTTTTTTTGTGTATGTGTACTAGGAATTGAACCCAGGGGAACTTAACACTGAGCTACATCTCCAGTCCTTTTTAAAATTTGAGACAGGGTCTTGTAAGTTGCTGACATTGGCCTTGAAGTTGTAATCCTCTTGCCTCAGCCTTCCATATTGTTGGGATGACAGATGTGCACCACTGTTCCTGGCTAGGGCGCCCTCTTTTTAAGAGCTGTATGTGTGTGTGGGGGGGTGTACACACACTTGCATACATGCCTGAGCACACACATGGTTACTAGATTGTTTTGTGGTGATGGGGACTGAACCCAGTGGTGCCCTTCCACTGCACTACACCCTAGTGCTTTTTTTTTTTTTTTTTTGAGACAGGGTCTTGATAAGTTGTCCAGACTGGCCTTGAACTTGTGATACTCCTGTGTCAGCCTCCCGAGTAGCTGGGATTATGGGAGTATGCCACAGGCCCAGGAGTTACCAGTTTATTTCAATTTACCTGCATATCCTAATTGTTTTGTTCACTGTGGTGGGAATTCTTCATCACATGAGCTCATCTTCATTGACTCTAAAATGCACTTTAACTCAACTGCAGGTACTACCTTGCTTCTAGACGTTATAAAGGCAGAGCTGGAATTGTGTGTGCGAGAGTGTGTATGTGCGCTGTTGTTATTTAAAGTTGAGTCCATATTAGGAGGATCCAGCACTTCTTCCAATCTCCAGGCATCATGGTTCCAGGTCTTGATGCTTTTGCTCTTTGGCTGTAAGACACTGTACCATTTCACACTGGAATCTCTGCAGAGCAAGGAGCTAAGAGGGCTTAGGGTTAGACAACCTCCATTTGATTTCTAATTTTGCAACTTGCTTTTGGTCTCTGGATGAGTACCTTGTCTCTCTGTGCCTCAGTTTCCTCATCTACAAATTGGGAATATGAAAATCCCTATTGCAAAATGGCGCTGAGATGACTAAATGTGTTAATACATACAAAGCGCTTAGAGACTTTCCTGGCACATAGTATGTATTCAATAACTATTTGGTATTATTCATGTTATTATTCAATAAATCACAGATGTTATTATTACAAATAAAATGGGGTGGGAAGTTGGACTGAATCATCCCTCAGATCTTTTGCAGCTTTAAAAGCCCACAATTTTATGAGGTTATAAAAGACTGAATGAATTGTGAATGGATTCTTTAAAGAAAAATACCAATCAAAGCAAAGAGGCCAAGAGAATTTAGGAAAGGCTACATTTTGGAATCTGTAGGTGCATTCAGGGGCAAAGCTGTGTGTTTTGGGTTGGCATAAACCAAGGCAGCACCACTGCTCTGTAGACTCTCCTCTTGTGAACGCTTTAGAGCATGGAGGTCAAAACCCTTGTTTTGTCTGTCTGGGGGAGGATTCTAGCTCTACCTCCTAAGCTGCTGCTCCATTATGCTGGGCTATTTAGCTGGGCTGCCAGGGTCAGAGCTAAACAAGCCTCGAGTGTCCACGTGGCCGCTGAGACACTCTAATAGTACTGGCTGTTGCTGCAGAGCAGGGAGGAAAAGGAGAAGCAAAGCTTGCTGCAAAGGCTAGATTTTGGAATTGAAAGCCATTGCTAGATGTAGGACTTAATCTTTGACGGAAACAGGATATTTGGTTTAAAGTCTTTTTTTTTTTTCAAGAACAAAAAAGACAGGATGTATTAGTTTCCTAGGGCTGCTATAACAAAGTACCACATATTGAGTGGCTCAAAGAAACAGAAATTTATTCTCTCATAATTCAAGAGGCCAGAGATCTAAAATCTAGGTGTCAGCAGGGCTGGTTCTTTCTGGGGGATCTGAGGGGGAATTTGTTGCATGCCTCACTCCTAGTATCTGGTGTCACTGTCAATCCCTGCTACTCCTATGCTTGTGGCTGCATTGCTCTAATCTTTGACTATGTCTTCATACTTTGTCTTTCTTGTGTGTCTCTGTGTTAGAACCTTCTGTTCCTTTCTCTTGCAAAGATATTAGTCACCAGATTTAGGGACCACTTGCATCCTGTACAGCTTCATTTTCACTTGATTACATCTGCAGACCCTGTTTCCAAAAGTCATCTATATAGGTAGGGAGTGGGTGGGATTTGAACATTTTTTTTGGGGGGGGGGGGACCCAATGCAACCCATTCATTACACAGGACCAACAGGTCTCAAATACCAAGTTGAGGAGAGAAGGAAGAGAGAGGCTTACCATTTGGCTACTGGTAGAAAGAGGAGGTGGGGGTGGGAAATGGATGAACGAATGAGGGAGACAGAGAGAAAAATTCCACTTTTCTAAGAAAAGCTACAAAACTATAACAAGTGAAAGCGGCCGGACTTTTCTATCTCTTTACTCCTCTTCTGGAGCCAGTTGTGACAAATTAGAGGACTATAGGGAGAATAAACCCCAATAATTAGTGTTCCAATGAAAGCTCCTTCATAAACCTTTAAAAAAGTCCATCGGAATCCTTCCCCACCTCCTCCTCAAATGGCGTGATCTATGACTTCCCAACGTGGGTGGGTTGGCAAGTA